TTATTTGGTTCTCCAATGAACAATTCAGTGAAAGGTACTTAATATTTTGTTAGTGTGAAGTAGGGCTGCATGATTAATCAAATGCAAGGCAAGGCAGGCAAGGCTCTTGCGCTTGAAACACGATTTACACCTTTACAAAGCTTCTCTTGCGCATGCAAATTTAATTTACGCTTACGGTCTTATGTACACTTCCACAACTCTTACCCTGCACATGCAAATCTTTTTGACGTCATTCTACCTTCATATAATTGATGTAAAAAGTTCTTCATGAAACAATAATGCCAGTAAAGAAACGTTTATCTTATGACCCTTCTCTCTACAGTGAGGGGCCATGTAATGAGGAAACGGAAGCTCCCTGAAATAGGCAGCTGGTTTGCATTAGTGAGATGTTTATAAACAGTCTTTCTATATAAATTTCAGTAGCTAGATTAAGGTTAGCTAGATTAAGATTTTGCTCCTTTGTCCTGAATGATGGAAGTTCGAGTTCAGATATATTGTCACATTTACTGATTTCACTTGAAGCAGAATAGTTACAAGAAAATTTTGTAATTGGCATGCTCAATTATTTTCAGTTGTGAATGTACTTGGAAATTAGTTGTTGAAGTTAGTCACAATTCTGAAAATCGTTTTGCCTGAGAAACTTTTGCATGAACTTCCTTTTTTGTGCCTCATTTTGTACACTTGAATCTAGTTCTGTGTCACCTGCTCAACTTCCAAGGCACAAATCTCGCTCTTTGTCTCCTGTCTGTGTGGGTTCCCCTCCTAGCAAGCAGTGTTCCTTGAATGCTGTTGTTCTTGGGAGTAAAAGGCTTCCTGCCTGCCTCCCTTTGCCCCGCGCTGGCCCTTCCCCCAGCCCAGCCGAGCCAGGGACCCTTGGAGTGAATGCCTCCATATTGTTGGTTTAGTCTATTGTGATGCTAATGGAAGCCGGAGACCCTCGAGTCATCTATCACGCGTGACAGGGAAACAGGGGCATTGTGTCTTGTACTGCACACGGGAGAAGGGCTGCTGTCTCCACAGGTCTCATCGGGAGAATATCAAACCCAAAGAATTCATGCTTTTGTGAAAGATTGTCCATAGTGACTGTGGAAGTACTACTCAATAATTACACTACCCCAAATTACGAGCAACCAAACACGTTCATCTTTATTCAAATGTACTCCCCAAAAACCATATATGCTAATACGCAATTCATAACATTCAACATTAACAGTTTGTCTTTGTGTATTTTAACTAGCAATAGATTTGATAACATTGCCCAGTTGGTTTGCATTTTTTGACCAATTGATTAAAAAAAGTGGCTGATGAAAGTCATTTGTTCAGAAGACGAACAAGAATGCTTTATTGCACAAGTTTGAAATCTCACAGGAATTAATTTTAAGAATGATCAAACTTCATGTTTTAGTTCCTTTCTGCTGTGACAATTGACAGATTCAGTTTGTGGCCTATTGAGGATTAATGCTAGATTTGGATGGGTTGAAGTGAGCCTTTATGTGAGAAATCACTCACTGCTTGCTGGCTGTATGGCCACGATCCAGCATCCACTGACATCATAGTTGTCCAACCGGCCAGATGTGAGTGCGGTCAGGCCTGCGTTAAACAAATGTGGTACAACAGGAAATGAGTCCTTTAAAAAGCTCTGAGAAAAAAAGTGATGTGTTTTTAGCAATCAAATAACATAACCAAAGCCATTAAAAGGATTTAATATGCTATACCTATAAATGAGGACAATGTTTATGGCATGGGGTCTGAGCCGAGCTGCAGGATTTTGCTTTGATTAAATCATCTTTGCTATGACATGCTGGCAGGAAGGATGATGGGGGCTTTATTTGCTTCACCCCCTCGGTGTGGAATCAATGGCAATTTTATGCTGCCTTTTTAAATGATATAACACACTCCTGCTGTAGAGGCTCTTTGGCTCCTGTGGAGTGCTATCTGTGAGGGGCTGGGAGGATGCTAATGGAAGGGCTGGTGTTGATGGTTTCATCTCAGTTAGACCTGTAAGGAGGAGGACACTGCCACGTGTTGCTGAAAAAAAAAACAACTCATACCAGCTTTAGGTGGTCAAGCTCATTTTTGGGACTTGAAATCCTGGTTAGATGCTGGTTAGTATCTCTAACCAGCTGATCAATATGGTCTAACAGGTTCATCAAATCATTGTCCAGTTAATTAGCCAACTTGACCAGACTGAAATTTGAAAAAAAAAAAAAATTCTACAAACAACGCTGTATTTGCTGAAATTTTCGGTACGAATACGTGTACCGTTACATCCTTAATATATATAAATACATAAATAAATATATATATTTCTGTATATATTTTTTTTCTTTATGTATATAGGCTAAATGACTTTATAATTTATGAACATTTCAAGTTGAAGATGAAAGGTGTCATTGTGAGCTGAGAAAAGATATTGAGTCTTGACACATTAATGGTGATTAGTAGTTTGAAAGTCCACTGCTGCTAGGGTGTTTTGGCAACTCTGAGAAACAGCCATAAAACACAGAGAAAATGCTTGCTGTGCTGAGCCATTTGAGAGCAGCCCAGATGAGGCAATGAAACCTCATCCAAATTAAAAAGTGTGATACAGCATTGTGAGGTGAGAGTGGTAAAGTGGGCTGCAGCAGGGGGTCATGGGGGGGAGTAGTGGCCAATGCAGCAGCTGTGTAAACCTCCTCAGTTCAAGGAGGGGATGCAGGAACCAAGGAATGGACGGATGTAAGAAGAGGGTGAACTCTTGTTCCAGGACTGTTAATTGCTCTCTGGCTTAGCTAACGTCCAGCTACAGTCACACTTTGGCTCCAGACTGCAAAATTATCAAAGACACACCCTATTCAGGGAAAGCCTTCAACGGCCAGAGTCTGTTGGTGCATATCTGTGAAGTCTGAGCAGGGGAGGATGAGTTAACGTCTAAATTGAGGTGGGAGTGCTGACAGCTCTCAGTAGGGAGCGGGGAGGGAGTCCACTTTTCTTTCCTCTGAGGGAGTTGGTGCAAAGGGGGGAGATGCATTCCTAATTGAATGAAGAGTCAGCTGGAGGACAATCCTAGAAAGAGGGGTGCCGGCAGGCCCCACTGAGTGGCTTCTGCTGTTTTAGGAGCTATTGATATGGACTCTGGTGTCTTTGAAATTAAGGGAAGCCTTTTCCTACTCAAGAGAACGGATTTCTTCTTTGCCCGGTGCTCTGCTTTTTAGTCAGGCCATAAATACCTAATCCTTTCCCTGCTGTTTTGACTGACAACTGGAGAACTCTTGCTAGAGTTCACATCCTCCCCGTTCCCACCCACTGCTCTGCCGTCTTCCTCATGTATACCATATTGCTGAATGAATATATTCGCCATGAATATCCACCACAAACGAGACTTTAAATTGAATTGGTGCATTCCTATGGACCTGTTCACACAAAGCGAAATATGCCAGATTCCCCTTTTTATTTCATTATTTTTATTATTATTATTCATAAATATTCTTATTGACTTGACTCATTAATGCAATATATGATAAAACAATCACAATTAGATTTTTGGGCAAATGTGTGCAGCCCTACTGCATATGAGTTTCAGTACCCAGAACTATTAATATTTTATTTTTTACATCTGAATATGAATTTTTTGTGCGTTGATCCAGAATCAGGGCTTCACAGTACAGCCACATACAGGGCACCTGTTCACACTCTTTTAGAATAAAACTGGAACACATATTACTTTAAAAAGTATTTTCTCTTATTACTGTCATTGGGGGGCAGCTTGTTTCCTGGGGTTTCAGGACCTCCAGTGTGTCCTTACCCTCTTTTTTGACTTTGCCAATGTTGTTTTGCATGGCAAACACAGGAAAGAAAGCATGCTGGCCAAGTCGCACTGAGCAGGGTTTTTTTCAAGGCGGTGAAAAGAATGAATTATTCAGCAGTAAGCATGCTTACAGCTGGCCGTTTGTAAGCTTTGATCTAGGAATCAGGCATCTGCATGAATGCCCTTATTGTCATGTTATGTGTACACAGTGTGTAAATTATTGAAAGTGGCGAGGCCCTGGCTTCATCTGGGAGAGATTACAGTGTTGGCATGCTGGGGAGGTGGGCTGGAACTGAAAATCCCCAGATGCTATTTATTTGTCCTGGAGGTCACATGATCTCCCGCCGTTGTTATAGCCTTATCAGAATGCCCTGCGTGAAGAAAGAGAGCTGCCCCTCCATTTAGCCTGCACATGTATTAAGCACGCATGTTGGAATCACATGCTCATTAGCCTCAGGCTGTGTTGGGGAGTGCTACCAATTGTTAGTACAGGGTCTTCGTAGAGGGAGTTTGTACGGTTTCATATAGACATCTCAATATTGCCACATGTGTACGTGTTTGTGGGTATTTCCAGAATTTGGTCTTCAAAGGATTCGGTGCCCAGTTGGGGCTTTTCAGAGTTATGTGGACACTTTGACATTGCTGATGATCACATAGTTAAAGGCATTGAATGAAAATTCACCCTATCTATTTTCTAAATGCATGTTATAGATCTTATTAAGGATGCAGGGCTTCTCCAATCATTTAATCCACTTGAACTTGCCCCAGCAAACTCATGCTTATCTTCCTACACTTTTGAGTGCAATGCCCACATACCCAAATCCAGTTAACAACTGATGAATAGAACCAAATATTTTATTTTTGGATGATCTGTTACACTTGGATGCAGGTCACAATAGAATAAAAAATCTGTTGTAGTGTTATATCACAACTTAAAAGTCTGAAATACTTATTTTGAATAAGTAATTACTTTATACTTTGTAATTACTAAGTAATTACTTCACAACCATATTTGGAATTTTTTCTTACAAATCGTGTTCAGCACTGACTTGTGGGCGTGTTCGCATCATTACCTCATTTGCATAATTTATTTAGCGAGTGCTAAAACGTACACAGGACATGCAAAGAAAAACTAATAACAGCAGGTGCAATTCATTCTTTACGATTCCCCTTGGTTTTAAAGCTCATGAGGATTTTGCTGACAGAAAGGAAAATGACTGGTACGTAAGAGAGAGGAGTTGAGTGAGAGAGATTCCCTTTCACACGACAGGTGTGCCTAATAGCAGAAGCTCAGGAGATTACCCATCCCACCTGAACACAGCGAGCCCAGTGCACAGCAGGTGGATGATGGGCCTTTGCAATCTCAGTGTGTGCCCATTTCACAAACAACAGACCTCAGCCCAGCCACCGCCATGGCCAGTCACCCCACTCCTCACCCAGAACACATCTGCTGCCGTTCCTCCCTTTTTTTTCTTTTATCGACAAATCTACCTTTACTTTTAATGTGTGATTTGTTAGGTGTTTATATGGGAATTTAAATAGCAAGTCTTGCTGAGTTAAGGTCATTTCTTTTTAAATATACAGTACTTGTCAAAGGTTTGGAAACATTTTAATTTTTAAAGGTTTTTAATTAGGTCTATGTTCACAAAGGCTGCATTTATGTGGGTTTAGGGAAAAGCAGAAACCCCTAAAGCAGATTCAAATGATTCATATAATATCAGGTTTTAATAAAAGGTATCCAAAAATACACTAAAAACAGTAATATTGTAAAATATAATAAAGAAATTTGCTGCTTAATATTTTTTGGAAACATTTTTCAGGATTCTTTGAGGAATAGAAAGTTCAAAAGAATAGCATTTATTTGAAATAGAATATTTTGTAGCATTATAAATGTTTTTACTGTCACTTTTGATACATTTGTAACGCATATTTGCCACACACATAGACCCCAAACATTTGAATGCTTGTATATCATGGTTTCTGCATAAATATGAAGCAGCACAACCGTTTTCACCTTTGATAATAATAAGAAATGTTTCTTAAGCAGCAAGTCAGCATATTAGAATGATTTCTGAAGAGTCATGTGACACAGAAGACTGTAGTAATGATGCTGAAAATTAAACTTTGCATCACAGAAATAAATCACTTTTTAAAATATATTACAATAGAAATTTTTTTATTTTAAATTGTAATACCATTTCACAATATTAGTGTCTTTACTGAGCACATACAGTGGTGTAAAAAAGTGTTGGCCCCCTTCCTGATTTCTTATTTTTTGCATGTTTGTCACACTTTAATGTTTCAGATCATCAAACATGCAAAAAAATAAGAAATCAGGAAGGGGGCCAACACTTTTTCACACCACTGTAAATGCACCCTTGGTGAGCTTTTAAAGGGGTCCTATTATGCTCTTTTACAAAGTTTACTTGATTTTGTTTTGGAGGTGTACTAGAACATGCTCTGATGCTTGGTGGTTCGAAAAACACATTATTTTTCACATAGTTTACATTATTACAATACCTTTCTCCCCAGCCTGGCATAAACGGCTCAATTAGTTCCGGGTTTGATGAAGGCCCGCCTTCCGAAAAATTTCCGCAGGCGGGGATTATTTTAATGATATTCTAATGGGCCGCTTTGTGATATCACAAAACCCAGAAAACAACGCTGTAGTCCAAACGAGCTATTCGTTGTAGTTCTTGAAAAGGGATTTTTTAAAAACGAATTATCTCCCTTTGGAGTGGACTTTGAGATTTGTAAGTTTGAAGATCTTTTTTATGCCCAAACATACACACTACACACTGACTAAATTTCAAAAAGTGAAAAAGCATAATAGGACCCCATTAAAAATCATAATGTTTCCAAACATTTGACAAGTACTATGTTTTTAAGACTATACTTTGTATTTTGTATTTAGTCACATTGGGATTTAAACTGGTTAATGCTGCTGTGTGAGTGTTTCTAATACAATGGCTGAGGGAGTGATGGCAAATATTACATCTTTCTCTCTTTTGACCAACATAATCAATCTCTCAGAATTTTTCATATACATACTGTACATATGTACACAAACCGACATGTGTTTCTATCTCATGTGTTTCTATTTAGTATTCTTTTTACTTTATGCTAATTATATTTAGCAGTAAATACAGTTTAATGTTGTTCCAATGTAAATTAGGTGGACACGTGGTAAATTGTAGCTACATCAATTCTGCGGTTGCTGTTTAAAAAGCTAGTTTTATTACACAGCCCTGGATTTAAAAAAAATCAAGAGCTCTATGGCAACCGTTGGCTACAGCTGGACACATAATTAGAGTGGCTCCTTACCTATAATTTGCGTAATAGTTTTGGGGTGGCGGTATGTTATTAACATATGAAAAGGCTAAGCAGGGGTCATTGTGCCTAGCATCAGTAATTAGAGCAGTGCCGAGGGCGCAAGAATGTGTAGAGCTGCCATTAATTGGAGATCACTACAAAACCATGCTTTAATTATTATTTAGTGAGAACAGTAGTGTGTTAAATGAATATGTTTCCTATGCCATTACGTGCTGTAACCATATGAAAGTCTGGATCTGTTTCTTTTCATAGCGTGAGGCTTTGAACAAATTGGGATTAAATTAGATTAAATTGAAAGGCTGTAGAGTTGTTGGGCTATTTTAATGGTAATAGCACGCACGGCCAAGTTTTCATTTAAATTAGGCGTGTTTGTTCATTCACTGGGGTTAAGATTGCTACATGTTGCTAACGGGGTGGGAACAACTGAGGCTATAGAAATGTTGGCTCATGCATACGAACTCAAGGCCGTGCATTCCTGCTTTGATTAGGTTAATTGAATTTAAAGTATTACATTTCCAAAATTTTTACATTAACACATCTCATCTATTGTCTTTCCGTAGGTCGGAATGAGCTGATTGCCAGATACATTAAACTCAGAACTGGGAAGACAAGGACACGGAAACAGGTAAGAGAATCCTTGTTCTTGCATGCATGCCACTGAACGGGAAGGCCAGTACTGTCGAATGCACCTGCTATCCCAGCTTTTGCAGGAAGAAGTCTTACAGCTCACACAATGAACAGCAGAAATAAAGAGATACTCCCACTTGGGGGTGGGCGATATAAGGAAAAATGTCTATTACAGTGTTCTTAAAATTAGTTTTTTTTATCATGTTCTGTACATACTGCATATAGTTTTACAGAACAAATAATATTATATATTTTGATCAGTCATCTAAATTGCAATTTTTAAATATATTATCTGCTCAGAATCACTTTTTCAATTCAAAGAAAAAAAGGCTTCTCTTGTTGGCAAGTACATATACAGTAACTATAAGCTTATAATTTACGAAATTAATTATATATAATAATTAAATAATTGTATTGTTAAATTAAATATGTGTTAATTGATATATAAAATATATTATAAAAATATTATAAAATTGACAACTACAGTGCTAAAAATGTCTGTATTCAGTCAGATTTACTGAATAGAAAGTGTGTGTGCCCTGTAAAGCCTCACTGAACAATGAATGAATAGTTTGCTCCTGTATTTGGTTGTATAATAGAACACCTATTAAAAAACTAACTAAAAGATGTGTTGGAAATAGATAAAATTGCTATGAAAAATATGTACTGCTTTTGCTTGTGGTGTGAAACGGGCATTATTCTAACAAGTGGGGCATTTGAGACTACCTTCATCTTCCATCTTTTACTGCGCATCTAGGCGGCTGAAGTGATTGGAAAACCAATTCTCTTGACTAATTTCTAACGTCTTTATTGGTATATCGCCCACCCCTGCTCATACACACACATAAACATAGGTTGGTACAATACACACACACACACACACACACACATAGCCACTCATACAGGAGCATGGAGCTTTGCAGCATGTTCAGGCTGGGTGCAAGAACGCTAATGCGATTGTAGGAGAGACGGACCCTGAACGCTGGGCTCAGCCGGCAGATGTTTCATTCAGCTGTATGAGAACACGCCACTGAACAGCTATGGCCAAGACACTCACTCACACATTAGCAAACACAAAGCATCACTATTTCAAAAGGCTTATTATTTAAAAAAAAAAACAATTTAAATAGACATGTTTTTACACAGATGACCTGTTCAGAACTGAAATGTCTGTTTAAATCCATGAATCTGTTTTTTTTTTTTTTTCATTTGACTGTAATGTAATTTGTAATGTTGATCTGTATGTGCTGGTGCAGTTGTAACACTTCAGTGGGCTGTACTTAGATGGTTCTGTCTCAAAGCTTTTATCAGCTAGATTTACTACAGCAGACAGGGAATGTAATACATCCTTTTGTTTTAAATTAGATATATGAATATTCCGGGTTATATAGTATCCAGGCCACTTTCTGATCCCTCAAACAAACAAGAAGGGGGTTAAGAGTGAATCAGTGCTAAAGTGATTTAGCAGCACAATATCTAAATGATCACGCTAATTTAAGTATGTTAAATAGCATAATTAAACTTTACATGTTAGAATAAGAATTTGATACTGTCTAAAATAATCAATTCTGATTGGTCAGTTACTGCATTCAACAATCAAATATCGGTACAATAAGGTTTCACTAACAATGAAAAAGTACTTAATATTAGTGTTAATTTTATTATTTACTAATACATTATTAAAATCAAAATTGTACCTGTTGATATTTTTAATGGACCTGAGGTAACATGAACTAACAATGTACTAAAAAAAGTACTTAATATTAGTGTTAATTTCAATATTTACTAATATACTAGTTGAATCAAAAGTTGAAATCTTATTGAACCTGAGCTAACAAATGAACAGTTGTATTGTTATTAAATAATGTTAGCAAAGAATAATAAACACTGTAACACATGCATTGCTTATTATTAGTTAAAGTTAACGTTAACTAATGGATCCATACTGTAAAGTGTTACTCATATATTTTAGAATAATGACCATCGTCTAGGACCATATAAATGACCATACATATTTGCTACAACTAGTTAATGTAAGTGCAGAAACTTTTCTCCATTTGAATTCAGAACTTCCAATTAAAAAGTGCAAAGTGCAGTAAACACTTTAGGAAATTTGATATACAAACTGAGGCCTGAATTTTAATTATTAGGTTTTGTAATCGGCAGCATGCAACAGATTCTGTTGACGGAGCGTAAATTGTGTTTAACCCAGAACATACCTTACTATCTATGATGGGAAAAAAAATCGACATAAATCTATGTGTATGATATTATAAAAGATTGACACCTCTTAAACTCGCAGCAAAGTCAAAAGTCCAGAAATCGACCCAAACGCTGAAACATCACAACAATCCCATTGTAATTTCATTTGGCTAAGCCTGAACCATTGAAGTGATTGTTGTAATTAATTTGGAAAGGTTAAAGGGCCACTTGTGATGCTGAGATATGTGTAAATGTGACTTTGCCAGGCTGGAGAGTCGAGAGCGGCGAGCCTCCGGAGACCGCCAACCTCATTAACACACGGCGTCGAGCGCGAGGCCCGCTCAACAGCCACTTGTGCGTGATTGGCCTGATTAAGACGAGGAACGCTCTCCACGTAACCCCTCGGAGCAGAGCCTCGTTACAACATCACACAACCTCCCACCTCACATGACTATTAATACACCATTAGTACATAATTCACAAACAGAACTCTGACTTAGTGGAATATGCAGAGCGGCGGTTAAAGGGCCCCGGGGCCCGTGCGGCTGCTCTCGCTCTCCTCCCCGAAGAATACTAGACGTGGCCATTCTCATTCAGTACACAGAAGATCACATCTGCGCTTTCTTAATGTGCTTAAGAAGCCTGCATTCTCCTTAATCAGCTCACTTAAGAGAGGAGTTGAGCGGGCCGGCTTGGCCACGCTTTCCTTTTTAAGAAAGGCCCTCCTCAAATGTTTTGCCTGTTAAAAATGTCTGTAATTCTTTATTGCTTTTTCTTTTTGCTTTTCTTGTTTCGTTTTGAAAAACGGAGGTGTCTAGTCACTTACAGGTCTTAGCAAGAAAGAAAGTTCGAGAAATCCAAGCTGCCATCAAGGTACGTCTGGCTCTGCCCAGTTGCAGGGGGGGCTTTTCATCGCCATGGTTACAGGCTGTTCCTTTGTTTTCCTCCCCTTCCCTAACCCGCAGGTGTCTAGTCACATTCAGGTTCTTGCCAGAAGGAAATCTCGCGAATTTCATTCCAAGCTAAAGGTATGCGCTTTTCTGCTTTTGGGCTTGTGGTTGCCATGTGTCTCACTTCCTGTTTCCTGTGAATGCCTTGTTGCTCTAATTCCTGTAACCTAGATGCCTTGCATGCGGCGGCTTGTTTAGCATACATAATTAAACGTCTCTACCCCGTCCCCGATGTGCATCCTCCTTTCACGCTTGTCAGTGAATGTCTGTTTTACTGGCCGTTTTGGCCTCTGTCTCTCATTGACCACAAAGTGCGTGTGCTCTGAGTCTAACGCTATAGGTCCCACGGCGGTTTCTAGTTAAATATAGCAGGAGTGCAGGAACTGTCGACACATACCACAAACCTGAAAAGCAGCATATGCTTTGGAAATTAATATGGATGTGAAATTCAATAGCTCTGGAGAGCAAAGGCAACTATTAAGTTTGTTCCATAATGCAGGACAATTTTGCTGCTCACCGATTTGGAGCTGAGGTTTTATAAATCCCAGTTTTCTATCCCTGTAATTTTGGGGACAGTATTTTTAGAAGTTCACAAACTAAATCTGTAGGTTCCATCTTTGTGGTATACAGAAATATTCCTTAAAATATGTTAAATTATAAATTCATTTATAAAAGTTAATAAATGACTAAATGGACTTTATTAATAAATAAGCATTTGTTACATAAAAAAAGCCTCCACATACATTCTGATACAGGCGAATAATAATAAAAAAAACTCATCTATACAGGTTTTTTTCTAAACTTAATTTAAATTAAGTTTACTGCTCAGTTATAAATCCATTTTTAAATAATTTTTAACATTTGTAGCAGTGGTATTTTAGTATTATTGAGATACTATTATAGTTTTTTAGATTTTGAATTAGTTTTTATTTTTGTATTTTCGTTTTTTTTTTTCGTTTTAATTTTAGTTAAAGTTTTTGTAATTTTTGTTGTGTGTTCTTGTCATTTATTTAGTAGGTTTTGTTATATGTCTCTCTATATTTTTATAAATTTTTTTATTTCAATTTTAGTTATTTTAGTACATCAAGTTAAACTAAATTAAAATCATATATGCTCTCTTGGCACCTAGCTGAAATAAAGTTTTCTTTAAAAAAAAACACACACACACACACACAAAAAAAATAAAAAAAAATAAAATAAAATATATATATATATATATATATATTTTGTATTATTATTTTTTCAAGTAACAGCAATGCTTTTATAGTTTTAATTTAGTTCATTTTATTTATTTATTTTTACATTTACATACATTTTAGTTTTTAGTTTTAGTCAAGTATAATCTCTATTTCCAACTATAGTATAAGTTTAATATGAACGGTAAAGTCTAATTTCTATGCTGCTGTCTTCACCAAATTAATTGTGAGATTTGACTTAGAGAGATGCATGCAATAACTGCAGAATTGTAAAAATATTAGTTTTCCTAAAAAGTCCCTCTGTCTGCCATTGGTCAGGCAAACAAATATCCATGCCCCCAAACCAACACTATTAGTTGATTCAGTTGAATAATGTTTTGATAGTGACATACAAAGTGTTTACACCCCTTTTAAGTAAATCAACCTTAGAATAGCTTATAGTTGCCTCTGCAAATGCAACTATCATGAGACCATAAAAAAAGTCCTTTAAAGATGTGTGATATAAAAATTTGAAAACCATTATATGACGAAACAAAGCCTCAGAAGCACAGTGCACTTTGCTGGTTACATGAATGCATTTCTGTGTGTCGTGTTTGCATGTGTGTCGTGTGTGGAGTGTTGTCTCATGCTGGCAGTACGCTTTAGCTGGTGAGAGTGGCTGAGAGCTAGAGGTCAGTGTTCAGCGGGATTCTGGTCACTGCTTAAACAACACAAGCAGCCACATGACTACAGGAAGAGCACAGTCTAGAGTAAAACCAGCGCTGCTTTGCCTTTATCTCTCCTAGAGTTTAATGAGGTCATCTGTTCTTCCCAAACGCTCTGCACAAGAAGTCTGGACCAAAGAGGCCCATTAAGGCCGTCGCTCAGATGCTTTTTGTTGCATTCCCCTCTCTTCTCGCTCTTTCTCTTGGCTTTTTTTTTCAATAACCCACTGGCTGTCAAACGCTTTCCTCATGCTGCATTAATGAAACAACTGAAATTAGTCATATAAACAGCAAAGTGTGCTGCATATAATCACCTTACATCAAATGCATCTCATCCACAAAGGCTGTGGCTTACAAAAAAAGGGGCCTTTTGTGGAAGGGATAATCTGATAATAAATTGACCTGTCATTTAAGATACATCTGCAAGGGTCGTTTCCTAATGTCTGTGTTTACTGAAAAGACCTTGAGGTTGGTCTGACTTCTCTGTCTCCTTCTGTTTCTTTCTCTTTCTTTTTGTGAGGTGATGACTAACTCCTTTTGACCAGCACACTTTTCCACAGTTCCCAGTTTACTCAGATATATTAATGACTCCCCCATTTGTGTGCATGTGTAAGTGTGTGTGTGTGTGTGTGCCTAGTGGAGCGTCTGTGTGCATTTCCGCCATGAATGGCTGGTCTTTCAGGGACACTGGCGGCTGCCTGAGTAAAAACAGCCAGCTTTTGTATGGGTCTCTGTCTACTCTCATCTAAAGCAAATTAGAAATCAGGAGCAGGGAAGAATTTGAGCTCCCTCCTGCCATTTGCAGCGTAGCGTTATAGTAAACCTGCCCAGTGTGCTCTTATCTGAGACATGTTGACTGAAATGACTGTCATTATGGTGCCACTCTTTGAGCTGGTCTGTAATGAAACCCTAGCCACAGTGATCTCAAACTGCCATATTATCAGCTATAAATCTTCCCTAAAGATGCTTTCTGCAGTTCATCTGGTTGACCAGCGCTCACACTGACTCCTTAATCTTGGTTTTACTATTAGCATGTGCGGTGTGACTTCAGAGAGCTTAACATATCATGGGAAGGATATGACTAAAAGCATAGTTATAAAATAAAAAAAATGACTTTTTCATTACTGAATTCACAATTTGGTCATATTCAAAATTAGTAATATTCAGGAAGTCCTTGAAAGCAGTGTTATCTAACCAACATTTCAGTCACTGTGTTATATCACTGCTGAAAAGACCAGCATGGACCAATATTTAAATTCTAGTTTATGCTGAGTAGGACTAGTTCTGTACTGGTCAGCATCCTGTTCACCCGCTGGTACACAAGTTGCATGTGACCAAACCATGGACAAATCAGGGGTACGTTTCCCAAACAATGAAAAAAACACACAGATTAACTACCATACTACAATGCATTGTTGAAGAAATAAAAGATAGGGTAGGCGATTTCGGACAGGCTAGCAATAGCAAGCTAGCTTTGAAAGCATAAGATCCCACCCTCCCTGCATAATTACTCTCCAAAGCCACGCCTCCTCCAAAACACATGAACGGCACAGGCAGACCAGAGGCTAACCAGTGACATGATGAGAGACGGCATTGGTGGACGGTTGAATTCAACGCTGTCAGTTTATCTCATGTCTCATTCACGGGTGAGAAAATATTACAGTACAAAGCGTATAATATTACAATAATAACGCCTTCCATTCTCGCTCAGTCTACAATAGCATAATAGAAAGCGCTGATGATGTATCATGTCTCCACAAACAGGGTTCATGGAGGTGTGCAAACACATACGTTGACAGGCAGGTAGGACAGCCCTCGGTCTGAGGGAAATGATTGGATGAACATTTTATGGTCCTATACCTTCCACAGATGATATCAATTAGTGTTGTCACGGTACCAAAATTTCAGTATTCGGTACCAATACCAGTGAAAATCCACGGTTCTCGGTACCAATTTCGGTACCAAAGCAAAACACAAAAACATGCTAGGTGTCTTTAAATTGTTTTGTTAGTTTGGTGTGTTTCCTCGTTTTGATGTCGCCACGTCTCAGTGCTTTTATGAAGAGAGCGCATCTGCGCACCTTTCGGATAGCGCATCAAGAACCGGGTTGACCGGGTACTCGGTACCACCAGTACTTAAAAAAACCTGGTACCGTAACATTTTCATTTTTTTAGTACCGACTTGGTACCGAAGTACCGGGTCTTTTGACAACACTAATATCAATACATACAAATACATTTAGACCAATTAACTTAGTGATTGCTATCGGGATGTGAAAAGACTTTCAACCAGCATAACAAAAAATGTTTTTGAACCAAATCACCTACCTTGCCTTTAACTAGCTAGTTGTGACTGTTTCCTGAAACTGTATAATATATTGGTTGCCTTCTGCTAATTCATCGATTCACAATTAATGTCCGAGTATATAGTTCATTCATATATATAAAAAAAAGAAAGCTGTTCATTTTTTTAAATCACTTTCACGTTTTGCTTTATGTAAATGGTGAACACTTTATTTATTCAGCAGCCTTCTCCATAATGAAATTTATCTGAAATGCTGCTGTAACGAACATGGCATCTGAGGACTACTTCACTATTAATCCCTGTAGTTTTGCTTTATTTGATGTTTGATTCATTGCGGGTTCCCTCTTGTGTCGTACTCCTGGGTTCTCTTATGCATTTCTGCACATATGCACTCTTTAAAAATGGTGCTGATTGTTGACGTGCTAAAATATATTGATTGAAATGTGTACATACAGAGTTCTGGCATGAAACTCTAGATGGCGCAGTCCAATAGGTCTAACTTTATCTGACCTAATGACATCATTATCACATGGCACAGCTGATTGGTTCTCTCCTGTATTGGTAGCCAATGAGCTCTCTGCTCAACATTCAAATATATGACTAGTGCTTGCCGTAGCAGTTGCAGCTTGCTTCAGAAACCCTCCACCTTCCCCAGCTCCACCTGTATAGATCTGCTACGAGGTGATTCATGTATGCTATATGGGGGTTATTTCATGTATGTTATATTTGCAGCAGCAATATTTCTTACATGCTCACAGCAGCATGTTTTGGATGTATTGGCAGTAGCAAGTCTCAGTACTTGCTCTGCCGCAACAGCAGCGTAGCAGATCTATTCCGCCAAGACCAAATACATTAACATTGTCACGTACATTACCATGCCAATCCCTCCGAGAGTTGCCATGACAGAAATATTTTTATTTAAAATGAAATTAAATGTATAGAATGTACTGCATGTTATCATCTTACTGTGCTCAAGAGAATTATCTAAGTTCTCATCATACTAACAAGAAACGGTGCTTCAAACCACATGTCGAGAGCTGTAGTTCCAACATGTTTGCAAATGTTCGTTGGAACTATGGTTTCGGGGAAATACTTAATCTGTGGACTTAGTAATGATTAAATGTGTGACCATAGTTGGCTTATGATGCTTTTGAGAAACGCACTTCAACTTGAGACTTTTGAATAAAATTAAACTAAAACTTTTTCTTACTGAATTAAAATAATAATAATAATTGTGCATATGGAGACAGCTGGAAAGTCAAAAGTTTTGACATATAATTAATGTTTAATAGTCATCAATATATGACTATTAAATAAATAAATAAATAAAATAACTATTGTAGCTGTGCACCGTGTCAAAATTAGAAATGTGACATTGCATTACACTGCACTCGCAGTGTAGATGGCACCATTGATTTTAATAGACACAATCTAGTTTTGCCGTGTCGTGACATGTCACACGCGGCTGGTGTGAACACGGTGTTAGCTGGTGAAAATTTTCCAGCATGGTCTTTCTGGTGGAATCTAAGTTAAATTAGTTAAAAAGCCTGGTCCTACACCAGCATCCAAAACACAACATATGCTGGTCTTTTCAGCAGCAGTAAATCTGTAAATCAGACGTATAAATGTGTGGACTTGCCACAAATCTCATTCATGTAGATTGTTTGAATTAAACTTGCCAAAAAGTGCAAACTGAACATTGACAATGAAACCTTGTTTGTTTCCGTTTAGGTGACAAGCATGGTAAGTACCAGTTCTCAGTGCTCTTGACTGTGCATCGACGTGTTGCCGTCACAGTATAGCAGCTGCTAAACCTCTGCTTGAGCTCTGAACCTCTCTGCCTCTCTCTTAGCCATACGTGAGCCACTGCTCCCAGCATGTTTATTCTCAACTCGTGCCCGCTTTTAACTGTCTTTTCAATGCTGTTGTGCTCCATTCACTGGCTGTTTCACGTGTTTAGAGGCAGGACTTCCATCCTGTTACAGTCGTGCATGCTATACAATCTGCATGGGGAATGTTTGCCTTTGTAATGTTTAGACTTACACACTTTAGCTCGATTAATTAAATTACCAGTTTTAGAAACCCATTTATGCACGGGCATTCCTTGTGTTATTAAAAGTCTATACTGCGAGATCATCTTTAGCCTTCTTGTGAAAATAACTAGGAGGTTATGTAAAGGAGAAAATTATGTCTTTCAGGCCCTTTTCTTTGACGCATTCATCTGTACTGTTTCGGCTCGGTTTGATGACCTTGATAGGAGCTTTTAGAATAGAACATTACACACAGCAGAAAAGAAAAGTTAGTATTACTTAACCCTTGTTCCCGACAGACACAATGCATTTTATTAGACATGTAGGAGCTGCGGGATAATATATAACATCAATGTCACTTCTCATTGGATTTAGTTCTCTTTCAGCTCTGCGCTCGATATTAAACATTATCATCTCCCGTACTCTGTGCTGGAGGCTTTCGTTCTTTTCAGACTTTTCGTCTTTAATGCTAGCACATTCCTCTTAAGATCAACGGCTTTATAGCTCTGAAAAATCTTTTAACATGCTTTCTGTCTGTGGATCTTTGTGTGTGAGGGTGTGGGCTGCTTTATTGTCCTGTGTTCTGTGTTCACTGCAGGGGGTGATGGTTTCGAATCTCTCACATTTCGGTCTGTATCACGGTTCCGTAGTTAGTATCAATTCAGAAAATATGGATTTTTTCCCCCACCATGTTTGTGATGACTATTAATTAAAACCACTACACCAGTGTCATTATTGCAGCCAGTTAACACAATTAACCTAACAATTTAAGTGAAAAGTTGAAATAAATCTTACATTTTTTTATTTTTCAATTTAGCTTTTACTCCAGCTGTCGAGGAGATTTTTCACTACCATTCAGAAGATACACTTTACATTATCTGCAAAATTGTTAATTATTTTACCAAAATGCATGTTATTTTATTTAGTACAGATCTGAATAAGATATTTCACATAAAAGATGTTTACATATAGTCCACAAGAGAAAATAATAGTTTATCTGTTAAAATAACAGTTAAACTGCCTGCTGTTCTGCAGAAACATCCTTCAGGTCCCACAAATGGATGATCCACAGCTGTTTTGTTTTGTGATAGATGTTCATGAGTCCCTTGTTTGTCCTGAACAGTTAAACTGCCCACAGTTCATCAGAAAAATCCTTCAGGTCCCACAAATTCTTTGGTTTTCCAGCATCGTTTGCGTGTTTGAACCCTTTCCGACAATGACTGTATGATTTTGAGATCCATCTTTTCACACTGAGGACAACTGAGGGACTCATACGCAACTATTACAAAAGGTTCAAACGCTCACTGATGCTCCAGAAGGAAAAATTATGCATTACGCTGTGGATCATCCATTTAACAACACAGTATTAAGAAACAAGCGCATGTAAACGTTTTCAATTTTATAAATTCAACTATTATTTTCTTTTGTAAACTATATGTAAATGTCTTTTATTTGAAATATCTTATTCAAATCTGTACTAAATAAAATAACATGCATTTTTTATGATCCCTCTTATTTTGGTAAAATAATTAACATTTTGCAGATACTACAAAGTGTATGTAAAATTTCGACCCAACTGTATTTACTATCACTTGAGATCAAAATAATGTGTCCTTGCTGAATAAAAGTATTATTTAAATTTTTTTTTTTTAGTATCTTACCCCCAAATTTTGAATGATAGTGTATCACGGTTTCCAAAAAATATTAAGCAGCCCAATCTGTTTTCACCATTAATTGTAAGGTGTTTATTGATCACCCAATCAGCATATTAGAATGATTCCTGAAGGATCATGTGACACTGAAGACTGGAGTAATGGCTGCTAAAAATTCTGCTTTGAAAATGGAAAACAGTTATTTTAAATTGTAATAATATTTCACAAAATTAATAATTTGACAAATAAATTCATCCTTGGTGAGCAGAAGAGACTTCTTTCTAAGACGTCTGTCTATTCCAAACTTATGACTGGTAGTGTACATTTTTGTTATAATTAGAGAATTTGTTATAATTAGAGTAATTGGAGAACAATTCAGGAAGCATTTACATTAGTGATTTCAGACTTTTGGTATTGTTAGACATGAGATAAAACCGTGGTACAAACATGTATACCGAACCGTGTTGCAGAAACCATTTAACTCCTACCTCACTTTGTCTGTACCCTAATTTCTTTTGGAAATGTTATTGAAGGATCAGAGTGTGAAGGACAAAGCTCTTCAGAGTATGGCCTCCATGTCCTCGGCCCAGATCGTCTCTGCCACCGCCATCCACAACAAGCTGGGTCTTCCGGGCATCCCACGTCCTGCCTTCCCCGGAGCAGCAGGGGTAAGACCTCCCCTCTGGCACCCGCCTATCAGTACACTTACTTCAGCCACACGCCTGCGTCAGCTCCAATCCCATTACACACCCTCAGAGCCGTGCCTTCATCAGATAAGCCCACTAACGCCACACTCAAGATAACTAGACTGCATGGCACATAGTCCACCTCATTTTTCAATGGACATGTGATAACTGATGTATCAAGCGTGCACAGATGTGTGTGTGCCTGTGGATAGGCTGTGTTTTGTTGTCTATTTATTTATCTAATTCTCTAGTTTTGGCAGGGCATGATATCCACGGGCCAGCCTGGATCCTCACAAGAGTGAGTATCTCTACTAGAAGTTCTGCTCCCATTGGCTTACTAAAGCTTTTCCTATTATTACAGTGCTTGAAAAGCACATCGGACATTCTTCTTCTGCTGCTGCTGCTGCACCTTCTGTACCTTCATCATTGTATTCACTTTCTTTTTCACCACCTTCTTCTTCTGCATCTTCTGCACCGTTGCTGTCTTCACTTTCTTCACCAGCACCGTCGTCACTTTCTTCCTGATCATCTTCACTTTCTTCTCCACCTTTTTCCTCTTCACCACCGTTTTCTCCTTCTTTTTCTGCACCTCCTCCCATCTTGTTCTTCACCTTTTTTCTCCACCTTCTTTTTCTTCTTCACCACCATCTTCACCTTCTTCTGCACCTCTTCCTTCTTGTTCTTCACCACCACCATCTTCGAATTCAGCACTTTCTTTTTCACCACTATCTTTACCTTCCTCACTTTCTTCTGCACCTCCTTTATCACCACCTTCTTCTCCTTCTTCACTTTAAGACAAGTGCACACTACAAGACAAATCCTTTAATTCCACCACTAGTGTGCCGCAAAAAGCCCTAGATTATGGCCAATTTATAGTGAATGAATGCTGCCAATGCTCTATAGCAGCGGTTCCCAAACTGGGGTGCACAGATCATCTCTGAGCAACACACAGCGGTGTTTCGTTACTGAATGATTCGCGTTTTTAAATTAATAATTTGAGTGTCTGATTCAGTGGTCCATTCAGAAAGACAGGTGCTTGCTTCATTCTTGAATGAATCAGCCATCTGAACGAATCGTTTGAATGCCTCAATGACTTACTCATTAAGACAGTCACTTACTGCCACCTTCTGGTGGGTTACTTTCAAATTTAAAAGTAACTCTTTTTTTTTTCTCCAACTTTTCATATTTGTAAATAAAAAACCTGATGTAAAACACCAAGCTCACAGCATTATTTATGCTGTTGTAATTTTGCAGTGTAAATGCATTCATGCTACATTTCAGCTTCATTAAATTGTCTGTGTAAATGCATCTAAATGCCGCTTCAGCTGCTTCTGTTTCTCCAGCAGTGGAAGAATTTGTTTTGTTAATATTGATTTAATTTGATTGGTAACAGCCCTATAGAGTCTTATTATATTAAGTGAAATTATTAATAAAATGTAAGAATTTAATCTGAAATATGACACATGCATTTAATAAGGTTAGGGGGAAATGCCCTTTTTATAGGCAAAAAAAAAAGATCTGGAAATCAATTCAAATAAATTTTAATATGCAGTAACTTTAGTCATATAAAATGTAATTTTCCTGCAACAAAATTGTGGCCAGTGAAAATGTTGAGTGGCTAGTAATTTTGGAAAACCACTAGCCACAGTGGCTGGTGAGCAAAAGAGTTAATGTCAAGCCCTGTATACAGTGAATACTTGTATTTATACTTGTATTGCAGTTAAAAATGTGGTGTTTAACCAGAGTACGGTGGTGGGGGTGCTTGACATGTGTCAAACACTCGAAAGGGGTACACGCTGCAAAAAGTTTGGGAAACACTGCTCTATAGTATGAACACTTGTAAAGTAGTAAGCTTATTTGAAATTTAGTCAGCCAGTTGCCAGGTGTGCACACAGTCCTGACTAGCAAGAAAGTTGCAATATCCAATGAAATGAGCTATTTCTATATATTATATTTTTTACTGAGTATCATGCCTTTTATCTGATTCAGCATTTCATTTTAAGCAGAACCAAATTTATAGCCTACAACTTTTAATATGGTTCTGTTGCTGCCTTGCAAGCACTGGTATTTCCTTCAGGAAATGCAAATCTTCTTTATTCCCCCTGTCTCTGTTTTGTCTGCTTTATTGTCGATCTCTTGATGTCTGTATTTTCCCCGATCCTTCCAGCTTTCTTTCTTTTCCTCAGAGGGATCAGAGATAGAGAAAGCCTTTCCAGAAACAGGGATGGGTTGAATCCAAGTTTGAATACTTTGTGCAACTTTGTTTCTTCTTTGCTGTGTAACCCTCTTAATCTCTTCAGTATGTAGTGCCGCTAAACTTCAGGCTGCTCGTTTTCCTGTTCTTAATTCTCCTTTGTCTATGTTTTAGCATCAAGCCATTTGCTCAGCAAGCGTACGCTATCCAGCCAGCAGTCACAACTACAATCTCAAGTATGTCTGTCATCGTTTGCCATGCTTTTCTGATTTATTCACATTCAGATGTAACGTTCTGTTTGTTTAGAAGAGCTAAATATTAAGTGTGTGTATGTGTGTAGGTTATGAGCCCCCGACAGCGCCGGCGCCCACAGTGCCCGCCTGGCAGGGCCGATCTGTCGGCACATCTAAACTCAGACTGGTGGAGTTCTCTGCTTTTCTTGAGCACCAGAGAGATCCAGATTCTGTGAGTAGCTTCTTTATGTCACTATAAATTAAAACGGAGTCAGTTTACTTCCTAATACACATTCCTGCTTATTGCACATGATTCATCAAGCTTTAGCCTCTTAGACAAAAAGCCTCCTCAAAAGCGAGTGTTTTTAGATAGAAGTTCTCCACAATTGACTGAAAACGCACATTCTAGTATGCAACGTGTACTTTTCACAGTCCAATCTATTCCCAATGGGGAAAAAAAGACGCCCTACATTTGTGGCTCTTCGAATATCTTAGATAAATGTTTTAGTCAGAAATATGATCATACCATAATATGACTGTAATACAATGAGAGTGGTGAATACCATTTCATGTTGATGTTGAGGACTGTCAAAATACAAGGTCCTGTTTTATTTTCATTTTTTAATTTGTAACAAAATTCAGATGTTATCACACTTACAAAAACGTATTGTTTCTGTATCATATAAAAGTACCGCTAATACCATGATATTTTGTTATATGCTGTGGTACATATGTGAATATCTCTGAAGTGTACCTCAAAAAAACCTAATTGTAAAGGAAATTGTTGTGGAATTATATATAGTAGAAATAAATAATTTATTGATTTAAAGACTAAGAACAACACTTTTACAGCATGTTAATTTCTACATATGCTAATACATTTTTAACATCAAGTTGCAAATATTTTTTATATTATGAACAAACATGAAGTAACAATAAAAAATAGTATGTGTACATTAGCTTTAATCAAGATTTATAAATTATTTATATATATATATATATATATATATATATATATATATATATATATATATATATATATATATATATATATATATATATATATATATATATATATATATATATATATATATATATATATATAATTATTTATTTATTTTTTTGTTTTTTTTAATAAATGAACATTAATCTTTTTGTCATGTTTATTCAGTCTTTTTTTTTTTTTTTGTCTGCCGCAATAATAAAATGTTCAGTATGAATGTGAATTGTCTCCATTTAGGGGGCATTAATGTGATTAATTGTGAATAATAAGCATTATTAATCAACATTTCAAGAAATTAATTCATTTACAGTAATGAATAGATGGATAGTCCTAGTTCAAGTACTTTCAGTAATTTTGACAAGTTTTCCTGTTTCTAACTTGTTTTTGTTTTTTTTCTGTGCAGTATAACAAGCATCTTTTCGTGCACATTGGTCAGACAAATCACTCTTACAATGATGCCTTGCTCGAGTCAGTGGACATTCGTCAGATTTACGACAAATTCCCTGAGAAGAAAGGAGGGCTAAAGGAATTGTTTGGCAAGGGTCCTCAGAATTCATTCTTTCTCATAAAGTTCTGGGTAAGTGAATCTCTGCAAAGAGCGAGCATCTGTTTAGTGATTCACAGACCTCCCCCTAAACCCCCCACCCCAAACATGCACGGGACAATTATCCACAATAGAAGACATCGTAAAACACACAATTAGTCCAACAAAAACTTTGTATTTTTTTTATTTAGGCTTAAAAATAATGTATGCCGCCCAGCCTGTGCCCAGGTTTCTACACTAATTAGAGTGAAATTACCACAGTTCATGTTTACCACCCATACAACTGCCTATTTAACGCAAATATTTATCCACCAAGTGATTACATGCATGCATAATTGTGCATTTCCCTAAAGACACTGGGCCACTTTAGTTTTAAAGACAGCGTCTCTGTTTACGCCGCTATATTTGGCATGGCATAGCTGAAGTGTCCATGATCAAAGCTCGCACTTATTCTGTTTAATATCGCGAAACAATTGGATGACCTGGTTGCTCCTCTAATAGCTATTCAAACATTGCATGCATTTTGTGAAATGCTAACTAGCGGCAACCAACAAAGTGGACCTCGTCGTGGTTGGAGCGAGGCTGCTCGAATTCCGTTTGAAGTGACAGAGGGATCTGAATTTCAAATGAGACTCTGGATCTGCACAATAATGCCTCTCTTGAATATGATGTGAAAATGTAACAGGCTTGTCTTAATGAAAAGAGAGTATGCCAGAAATGAATATTTGAGCTTTCTCAGTAATGAACATCGGGTTAGCTTACTGAAAAAGCGGGGAGCGAGCTGTTCTTTCTTTCCGCTCTTTTTCATAATTTTTTGAGTGGCTTTTTACTCAAAGTCATTTAATCTATTCTTTCTAACCTTAGACACAGCCTTTAATACTGGAATAGACTAATATGGAGAAATAGCCATGATTGGTAGTTTAGTATAGGTATAATGCATTCTTAAAGGGATAGTTTATCCAAAAATGAACATCTCATGTTTTTCCAAAACTGACCCGTTTCTTCCATGTAACACTAACATAGTGCAGAAAGTCCTTAGTGGTTTTTTCATAATGTGGATGGAAGACAAAAAAGCACCATGAAAGCATTATAAAAGCTCAATACAAGTTGTGTTCTATGTGAGGAACAAACTGAAGTGTTGAAAATATTCCATTTAGGGTTTTTTTTAGTTGTGCATACAATTTCCACTAGATGGCAGTTTTGTATTGAATGTTATATTTTGGTAAATCTATCCATTTTTTCTGCTGTAGATTTTTTTTGTAATAGAAGTATTTGACAGTGTAGCTTATTCAATTGAAAATTAAAGCTACAATCTCATTGGTTCATAGGCTGATTTGAACTGCAACATTCAGGACGAAACTGGGGCTTTCTATGGAGTGAGCAGTCAGTATGAGAGCCCGGAGAACATGACCATCACCTGCTCCACAAAGGTTTGCTCGTTTGGCAAACAGGTCGTGGAGAAAGTGGAGGTAAATTTCAAACATTCGCTTTTGAGTACAGTTGTAACGTCTAAATGGAGCAATAAATGTTCTCCTTCCAGAGGGAAATGTAATTGCTCTTTCGTTACTCAGGACACTTAATGAAGTTCCCAGTTCTTAGTCTGACATTTCTTAGTAGAAAAAGGGAGAATTTGATGAGAAATCTCAGGATTTTAATTGAAGACTATGACATTTTAATCTAAGCATAATTTGAGACATTGAGATTTTGTGATTGGTAATGTGATTTTACAACTTTTAAAATGTTTAGTCATACAAAAAAAAAAAGCACTAAATGGTGGTATCATGGTCATATTTGTATGTGCGTTACTGGTCACAAGTTTGGAATAATTCAGATTTTAAATGTTTTTGTAAGACTCATGTTCACCAAGGCTGCATTTTTTTAATCTTAAATTCAGTAAAAACAGTAGTAGTGTGAACTATTATTACAGTTTAGAAGAACTGTATCGTTTTAATATATTTTAAAAAATATTATAGTGATGTTAATGCTGATATTTCAGTCTTCAGTGTCACATGATCCTTCTGAGATCATTCTAATATGCTGATTTGGTGCTCGAGAAACATTTATTATTATCAATGTTGAAAAGAGTTGTGCTGCTCAATATTTTTGAGGAAACATTGATACACTAGCACTTAGAAGTTTGGGGTAAGTAAAAGAAACAAAGAAAGACTTCTATTCAGCAAGGACCCGTTAAATTGATCAAAAGTGTTAGTAAAGACATTTATAATGTTACAACATTATGTCTGTTTCAAATAAATTCTGTTCTGTTTCAGAATCCTGAAAAACATCAGTATCACTGTTTATACAAAAATATTAAGCAGTTTTATTAGCTGTTTTCAAAATTTAGAATAAGAATCATTATTATTAATTGAGCCGCAAATCAGCATATTAGAATGATTTCTGAAGGATCATGTGACACTGAAGACTGGAGTAATGATGCTGAAAATTCAGCTTTGTCATCACAGGAATAAATTACATCTTAAAATATATTAAAAAAGAAAACAGATATTTAAAATTTTTATATTTTTTAATATAATGCTGTTTTTACAGTGCCAAATAAATGTGGTGTTGGTGAACATTAGAGATTTCGGTAACATTTTACAATAAGGATCATTAGTTAACTACTTTAGTTAACATGAACTAAGAATGAACAATACTTCTACAGCATTTATTAATATTAGTTCATGTTAATTTCAACATTTACTAATGCATTATTAAAATCAAAAGTTGTGCTTGTTAACATTAGTTGCACTGTGAATTAGCATAATTGTGAATGAACGACTGTATTTTCATTAACTAACATTAACAAAGATTAATAAATACTGTAATACATGTATTGTTCATTGTTTGTTCATGTTAGTTAATACATTAACTAACATTAACTAATGGAATCTTATTGTAAAGTGTTACCGAAATTTCTTTTTAAAAACATTTTTAAAAATGATTTCACGTTTTTGACTGGTAGTGTATATGCAATGGTACTTTCTGTTGTGCATTTTCACATCTCTCTCTCTTCTCTCAGACAGAGTACGCTCGCTTTGAGAATGGACGCTTTGTTTACCGGATAAGTCGGTCTCCCATGTGTGAATACATGATCAACTTCATCCACAAACTTAAACACCTTCCTGAGAAATACATGATGAACAGCGTCCTGGAGAACTTCACCATCTTATTGGTGAGTCTGCATGTCAGTCAGTGATGTTTAAACCAATCAGTGAGAGCTCTCAGTGCAGGGCGGAGCCTGTGGCCTCTGAGCGGAGACGGCCTAGCATTCCTGACATTCCTGTGGCGCTGTGCAAAGCCTGATAATCTCCTGCAAAGGGGAGGAACCCCTTTCTCTAACCTTCATACACACCAGGATTAGAGCCCTATTCAGTCCTATAGTGAGGGTCTTATTAATGCACTTTCCCTGCTCTCTTCCTTCAAATCCCTCACATCCTGGTGCTGTGCATCTGTAAACCTGCTCTCCTGGGTTGCGACTCTCACCTGCCATGGAGGTTTTAGTTGTTATTATAGAGAGACTGAGGGAGGGTGTGTGTGTTTATAGTGAACGCTTGTGTACAGTATATGTTGTTGAAAGGTGGTGGCATTGTTATTAACATCCATCTCAGGTGATCCAATCACATAGCCAGGGCTTAAAGTTCTCCGGCACCGTGCCGGATCTCCGGCATGCGGCGTTTGGCTGCGGGAAAAAAAAGATAGTCGTCCTACATTTAAAAACACTTGTTGATATCACGTTCGAGTTCATGAGTTCGCCTACCAATGTATGAGAGGAACACAGCTTTCACTCTCAACCAAACTAACATTACTAGCCAATCAGAAGTTTTTGCTCTTATAAACACGAGACGCGCATAATAGTATCCAATTGCAGAGTCGCAGTTGATGAATGGAAAAGAAGCCTGGGTCTCGAGCGCGACACATTGAAAAAGCTGCAAGGCGCAATGGTCAAAGATTTGTAATCTATATTTACATAGAAAAGCTATTAAAAAATCAGCGGAGCTTTGTAAGTGTAACTTAAACGTACAGCTAGTGCAACCGGCCCCAGGCCGTTGGCGCCCTCTGCAGGTATTTGTTGTAATATAGGCATATTACATTATGTATTTAACAGTGTTGTTCAATAAAACCATGTACTTGGTTTTAATACTTTATTTGAGGCCAAATATTATTGCCTCATCGTTACTTTAAATATAAATATAGTCATTTTAAAGCCTGTTTTTCCACTTAGTTCTATTTGTATTACTAAAAATATCAGATTACTTGTCAAAATAATCAGTAGATCACTTGATTAGCAAAATAATCATTAGTTAAGCACTAGATTAGTTAAAACATTTCAAAATACAACTGCATTGTTTTTCTTTTTGTGATTAAAAGAAAAATAGCATTTTGTCTCACCTTGTGAGCTAAGTGTATTGTCACACCCCTAGTGTCTAAGAGCGTGATAAAGCTAATAATTTTCCAAGTGTATGATATAGCTTTCATTCTTCTGGTCAATCATATATTCATTCAAAAAAATCAGTTTGTATAAGGAAAGCGATAACTTTGCCATAGTATCCTTTCAAATTTTAAATTTGCCACAGTCATTGCATTCTTTGGATGTGCTGCACTTTATTTGTACCATTTTGTTTTATTAGTTTATTTATTAGAATTTGAAAGATAATAACAATATTGATTGATAAGTGAGATCTGATTTTAGTCCTTGAAAACCAAAAAAGTGGTGCAAGTCCTTGAAAGTCCTGGAATTTCATTTTGCAGTATCTGTACGAACTCTGTTTAAGTTACGAGAGTAAACTGTCTTTGTATATTTCCTATTTTATATTCATTTCCTAGTATTTAATTTACCATTATTTCTTTTGAACAAAACAATTTCAGAAATGTCATGTTTTAGATTGTAGGTCATCTTGTTCCCTGTCAAGGACAAGGCAAACCAGCAAAACTTGATATCAAAAGCATCCTAAATGTTACATGTGTTTGCACCATATTGTAGTGAGTAAACATTCTTGGTATTGCTGTTTCAAATATCCCACCATAATCTGTAGTCTGAGCCTGTCAAGGGCTAATGGCAATGGCAGATACGTTACTAGTTTCAAGGAAAATCATTTTTTTTTCTGTTTGCCAAATGACCCTGTGTATGTGTCTGCACCTCCAACCCCCAGAAAAAAGTTCGGGCTCAGGATTTTTTTTTTTTGCTTTAACCCCTGCATAGTGCACTAAATATTTAATATTGGATTTAAAAAATGTTAAACAGGATCCAATATGTAAAAAATTATCCAATCATTGAAACTGCTTTTTAAATGTTAATTTGTCTTAATGCAACACATAATTACTCACCTAAAAAGCCATCATTGTACCAAAACAAGTTTTTTATACATTAAAAAAAAAAAAAAAAACTGGAAAAGCCCAGTATAAATGCAAAAGAATTACTGTACCTGAAATCGACGTGCAATTTGACATGGACGTGAAGTGATGTATGCAGTCAAAAATCAAAGACTGGATGAAATCCATTTACAGATCAAATCAGTGCACAGGTGAATCTCGCAAAAACTTGTCCAAAAATCAAAAGAAAAAATATGAATGCCCATGAAAATCTGCCCTTGAACTATTTTAGAACTGTAAATGAAGAGTTCATTTGCAAAAACCGATAAATGCCACTTTCAAAAAAATTGTCTGATTGCCGTGCATTATTCTCCACATACAGCACGATCTGAACCCTAAACACGTTTTGTCAAAAAAGCCGGTTTTGTCCACTTTCAAGGCATCGCGAGTTCACGTTAACTGCTTTTGCTATAAAACAAACTTTTAATATGTAAAAAAAAAAAAACATACTTTCAATGAACTTTAATTTAGTAAATTACCTGTATTTGTTTAAGTTATTATTACTTAATCAAAACAACCCAACTGCAATTTGATTGATATTACTTGGAATGCACAATAAAAAAACTTGATTTCTGAAAAAATAAATACAAATGGAGTTATCTGTTTTTGCAAATGAACTCTTCAATTATTGTTTGCATTGTCCCATAATTTTCAAGACAGTTAAGCACATTTGCCTACATCAAATTCTCATTACTGTTATGTGTAGATTTTTTGATATTTATTTTAGAGCATTAAAGAACTTTACTTTTAGAATTTGTATTTGTATTTTTTCTGGTGTTTCTCATTACCTTTTTATTGCTGCTATAGTACAGTCATTTTTACTATGTAAAACTGTACAGTAGTGCCATCTCTCTCTGTCTTTCTCTGTTTCAGGTGGTAACAAACAGAGACACACAGGAGACCCTGCTGTGCATGGCCTGTGTGTTCGAAGTGTCAAACAGCGAGCACGGAGCCCAGCATCACATCTACAGACTAGTGAAGGAATGAAGCAGCTCTTTCACACAGACTCTGGACCTCAGTACAGTGGCAGTGCCTCTAGCTCAACACTCACTCAAGATGATTTTCCGTCACATTTGGGTGATGCTTATAATTATATATATATATGTGTTTGACGTTTAACTGCAGCTGTGAATCGCGGTACAGTTGTATTATGTTTTAATATGGGAAAGAATGTCAAAGAATGCGATTCAACATTCATTCATAGACTATACATATAAAGTGACAGTATCATTCAACTTAAGGGTTATGTTGAGTTAGAATGAATCTGAAAACGACCTCATTTTGATTTTTTTTTTTTTATCTTAAAAGCGTACACATCGGAAAGCGTATGGGTGCAGCCATAAGTAGGATGTAGGTGTACAGATGAATATACATTCTCACATACGTAGGTATTTTTCCCAAAGAAAAAGGTATTTGAGAAATTTCATTCTGTAACATTGATTTATTGAAAAAAGAAAAAAGATTTTTTGTGGCCATCGGTAAACAAAATGTTCCTGCATTCCGAACACTCAGAGAATTCAGGGAATTCAAAAGCCCAGCCCTTGAAAAGAATTACTTTGTACACACTACTTTTTCTCTTTTGTTTAGGAATTACTGCACTGTGATACGAGAAGTTTATACCAACCTGTGTCTGTTTTCATGTGTCATCACCTGCAATAAGAAAACGCAGAGAATCGACCCCTTACTGTTGACTGTACAGCTAAACGCCTCCTGCCGACACGCTTGTGTAAAAGGTAACTCTAGAAACAAGAAGCACTGTATTAACTACCAGGGGCTGATGGATTATCCATCAGATTGACCCGAGCACTTGGAGTGTGTTTGCCGCTGGGAAAGCCACACTTTTTACGAAGCCCATCCCTGAACGTGCTGTACACCCGTACGTCACGGAGCACTCCTTCATCTTCTGTAAGAATCAGTCCCAGAGTTCCTCGCTGCCTTTGACATCCCCACACAGCCCATGTCTCTGTGGCCTAATCGATTTCTACGACTGCAAGCCTTAATAATGGTTGTGTGAACTCCAAAAGATGCCACTAAAACTGTGATCTCTTTCCTAAGCTGGAAGACTTTCTTGTTATTGTCACATGTTGTAGGAGTTGTACAGTACAAACCTGCCAAAGTGTAACAATATACAGCACAGTGCCTTAGTGTATGAAGCGAATGTGGATGAGCGCAGTCGTTTTTTGGGAAAAAGTAACACTAAAGGTGTGGTCACATTTACTGTTGCTAGGCGGAGAAATCAGTGCAGATGAAATCAGTGATTCCGATAGGAATTTGTGTGGTTCGCGTTGAGGCAGAAAATTTTCCCATGCAGATTTTGCTCATTTTCAAGTTGTTTTCATGCGAATTTGCTGAACTGACCAGATGCTTGGTTTGAAAGTGACTTCTGTGTGAGCTGTGCTTTATACATCGCTGCGACAATACACAATGGACTTTTTGTCCACAAAATTTCGCTGCAGTTTAGCAAATGTGACCACACCTTAAGATCCTACGAGTCATCTTTATAAAAGAGCACTGGCCATTTGGTTGACCTTTCACTCTCAGAGACCGAAGACATGTTTAGACATACAGATCTTGCCTTTCTTATCGGAAAAGACCAAAACGTTGAAGGAGATGCATTGAGCTCCTCTTTATTTCCTGCACTGTAGCATGAAAGTGCCTTTGGTTTCCAGCTTAGAAAAGACTGATGTTATTTTCCGTTCTTAAAATGATCAAAAACCAAAAAAAAAAATAAAAAAAAGTGGATGTAGGTAAAATATTCACCACATTGCCTTCATAAGAATTTTATAGAAAAAAAACATGGGCTAGTGAGTGGATATGTTCTGAAATAAAGTTATGTAATAATTATTAATAACACATTTCTATCAGCATTTGATTTAATCGATGTGGCAAACTGTCTTATTTTTTCTTTCGAACTGTGAACTTCGGTTCCATTCTATGAGAGATTTATTTGACATAGAGCTTTAGCTACTTTTCTAGTGCATAATCGAATTGTGAAAGTGGAAAACCTTACAGCACCTGATTGCTGAATGGTGTTTGCTTTCCCCTTTCTTCTTGTTTCAAGCCATTTCAATGTCTTCTTTTTCGTTTGTGAATATAGTAAACACTATATTAAGTGACGTCAAGGTGTGTTACTCCTCAGACCTTAAAGATAGTCAAGGATATTAACCGCAGAGTCACGTGTACGTTCTTTACGGACAAAGCTGGCTTCACCAAACCATATCATCTCCACTGCGTAATTTATTCGTGCTGTTCATTTAAGTGGATGGAACCCTCAAAGCGTGAGAGACTAAATTAGATTTCCAGCTGTGTATGTTGTACTGCTTCAAGTAAACTGTGGAGTTATTAAGTACGCGCGATATCGAAACGGCAGACGGTGTTGATTGTTTTGTGTTTGCCGTACCTTCGCCCTTCGTTCTTGTTCACGTTTCATATAGAGATCTTCCTGTATTGTTCTACATGTACACGATGGTTTTGTGACGACGTCAGTATATTCGGAGCCCGTTCGGGTGGTGATACTGTTACTGCTGTGCTGCTGGTGCACCTGCTACGTCAGTTCCTCCTTAACCAGTCCCCTTTACTTCTCTAACGATCTGAGAACTAATGCCTTTAATATGATGAATGTTAAACGGACATTGTTTTGCTAGTAACGGACACTAAGCAAGGATTCGAGCGGAATCCGGACTACAGTATATCAGCAGTTTAGTTTATGTTTTTTGATCTATGTTTGTATTTTGTTTGTATGTGTAGGTACTGGTACCTCCTATGTTCATTACCATTTAAGATGTTGGCTTTAAAGTGAACTTTTCTCTAGTTCCGATAGTATCATAAAAAGATATTGGGTTTGTGTGCAGAGATTTTTTGTAAAAAGGTGCTTTGTATAAAATTATATATTCCGGCTTTTCTTGGTACAAAGGTGTGATATCTTTTAATATCCCGGATGATGGAAAAAAAAGCATTGGAGCAAGGCTGAGAGAGAAAAGAAAACCTATTATGTGTGTGTTCTTTATCGCATATGGTCTTGTCTTTGCTCCGTAACATTTTGATGCCTTCTTGATAAAGTGGTAGATATTTTGTAGCTTTCTAGATTCTTTGTATGTATACAATATTGAATAAAATAAGTAATTAAAACAGCTCGTCTTGTCATGTGTTCTTTTTTTCCATGTTTCATTTAAAAGGATAGTTCACCCAAGTTCATTTACTCCAAACCTGTATGACCAACTGACTTTATTCTTGAGAACACCAGAATGATGGTAACCAATGGCTTCCATTGTTTAAAAAATTAAATATATTTTTATTTTCCATAGAAGAAAGCCATATAGTTTTGGAGTAAATGATGACAAAGTTGTCATTTAAGATTAAACATTCCTTTTAAGTTTTTTTTTATATATATAATAAAACAACATCTGTAAGAATGGTTTTTGTAATTGATGTTCTATTAGGGATGGATTGTAGTACTGAAAGTATCTTCAAGTCTGCAGCGCCCACTGTTGTCACTTCTAGGAACAGATTTTGAAAACAAAGTTGAATCCAATAGTTGAATCAGTAAGTTTTTTCCCCCAATGCATTTTCTCGGTTTCATTTATAAGTATTTATGACACATTTTAATGCATGTTTATTGAAAGTAAATTTTTTGTTGAATCCAATAGTTGAATCAGTAAGTTTTTTCCCCCCAATGCATTTTCTCGGTTTCATTTATGAGCATTTATGACACATTTTAGTGCATGTTTATTGAAAGTAAATTTTTTATCCATATCATTACCATTTACAGCTGTGCAACAGTGTGCAACATTCCATTTTAAAGCATAATTTTGCCATAAGATGTACATTAAAGGAGTTACAGTAATAGCATTGAACACTAGGGGGCGGGATTGTTCCGCTATTATTTGTGAATGTGGCATTAATGAACGTGAACAGCAGGGGTCAGTGCAGGATTATTCTCATGAAGCAGTGAACAAAGAATTGATTTCTAAATTGATTTAAAGCTTTTTATTACTCAAAGACATTTAAAAGGGTTAAAAAGTAAAATTATATATATATATATATAACAGAAAGAGTGTTGAGTGTTGTGCATGAAGTTTCAAACCATGCTTTTATACTGATCATGTAATTTTATTCATTTAAAGGATTGAGGAGTTTTAACCTTAATTGGATCTGGTTTGGCCCTGAAATTAGAATTTCTTTTATCATAAAATAGCATATAAACTCTAGATTAATGATTACTGCAGCGTTTGTTTTTGTGATGCACAATTTCTTAATAAC